GGTGGCATCAGCCCTGGGCCGTGCCCCGCAGTCAGCCGGCAGCTGTTCCTCCTTCCTCATCCCCACCCTGGAAACTATTTATTTGCTGAAGAAGAGCTTTCCCTGGGAAATCTGCTCTAATGCTCAGGGACATCTTCATTTCCAAGGAAAAAATAAACAGCTTGAGCCTTGGAGGCCCTGACGCTCTGTAAACACCAGCGCTAAACCCAGGGTCGGTGTCAGCAGCTGCGCGGGGTCAGCACAGGAGGGTGGGGGGTCACCCAGAAGACTCCACACACCCCACCCCACGCCCAGGCAGCGCCATGCTGGAGGGTGACAGAGCCCATGCTGCCCATAGTGACATGGGGACGATGCTGCAGTGTCCCCACGAAGGCAGCACACAGCAGAGGTTGCCCTTTGCTGGGGGTTCTGCCACTGGCCACCCCTCCCTGTGGAGACCAGCAGAGCTGGAGGCCGTGCACTTCAGCCTGACAGCAGCAGCTTCTGCCCGGGACAGTGTGGCCATCCTCAGGGGCTGGCAGGAAAATTGGGAAGGGGCACAGAGCGCTGACTGCCCCGCAGAGCTGGTGACACTGCCGGGGGCAGGCACCCACCTTGCTCTCACAGCAGTAACGAGGGTCTTCTCCACCTGCGCCCTGGAGGAAGCTCCTGCTTGAGCCCATCACCTCACCTCTGGCTGTGTTCAGACAAGCAGCACGCTGCTCCCCGTGAGGGGCTGCGTGTCCGTGGGCTGTCCTCTGTACCAGCACAGGGTAACTGGTGGAAGGGCTGGACGGGGGGTTTTGCCACCCTGCCACCGGCGGGTGCAGCAATTCAGCCCCAGGATCAAGTGCGGTGCCAGAAACCCACTTACCTCCTCAAATACCTGGTGTGGGTCGTGCACAAACCCAAGCTTGAGCTGTGCTCCCGCATCAACTGAAGGTGGGGATGGCTTCTGGGCACAGCCTGAGCTGAAGCCGAGGATCTGGCAGGTCACCTACTCCCCCTCCCGACAGCAGAGCGCTGCGCCGGTGTCCCCTCACCCCAGGGAGCAGCTCCCCGCTTCGCACAACCACCCTCCGCGCAGAAAGCAGGAGCAAAGCGTGTCCTTGGCACCAAAGGCTGCGGGACAGGCTGAGGTGGCACCCAGCTGAGCACCCTGCTCAGTTCTCTGACCCAGGGGTGAACAGAAAAGCTCTGAAACCACAGCAGATGGTCACTCAAACCCCCATGAGATACTTGGGAAGTTGTATGAGCTGATTTACCTTCAAAGGTGGCCTTGCTCTGAGCAGGCGCTCGCACGAGATACCCTGAGGAGCCTTCCAACCTGAATTGTTCCATCTTTGTGCCTTGCAGAACTGTAGGCACACAAACCCCAGCAAAACCCTCCTGGCTGTGACATCAGGATGTTCCCAAGTACCAGCTTCAAGCTGCTACTACTCGTTTTGTCTCTGCAGTTTGGCCACACGTCAAGATTCTCTTCCCTTTTAGAGAGATCCTCTCTAGGCAGTGCTGCTGCTCCCCTGGCTGGGGTGGAAGGTGACAGCAGCCATTTCACCTGACGTGACACACACTCTGATGTCACCATCAGGCTCTGCAGCGCATCCACCTTCTCCCCGGCTTCATTTCCAAGCTGCCCCACAGGTCGTGCTCCCTGTTGACAGGCAACTGGCTCCTGGGTCACACAGTTGGAGCCAGGAATTTACAAACGGCTGCCCAGGAGCAGACTCTGGAAGGCCACCAGGGACATGTTACCTGTGTTTGCTTTTCCACATCAGGAATGCTGGCAGGATCCTTGCAGGGTACACAATGCCTCTCCACAAGAGAAGCCCAAAGGCCCAGCCAGGCATGACCCGACAGCAGCCGCCTGCCCCCGCCTGCCCCGTTCCCAGCACAGCCCACCAGCCTCTCCCTCGGCTCCTGGGACGGGACCGTGTGGATCCGGGATCCTCGCAGCGGTGCGCTGCTCCTTCTTCGAGGAGGGCTGTGTGTTCTGGGTGAAATCATGTGCTTCCCCAGGACACAGCCTGCTGCTGGCCACTGGATATTCAGGAATGGTAACACAAAGCATTTTGTAGCTCTGCCTTTACGGTAACGCCAGCGTGAGCCAAAGCAGCCAGTTCCCACACGCAACACCCCGCCTTGGCCCCGGCCCCAGAGCTGCGCCAGGCTGGGTCTGCTCCACTGCCAACCCCTTCGTGTTCCTGTCCACACCGAGCTCCTAACAAAGCCACCACACCACAGCCACACCACACCACACCACAGCCAGCATCGGCATCGTCGCACAGCCACCCCGCACAACCCCTCAGTGTATGGGAAATTCACCCCACCACTCGTCATCAGACCTCTCTCTGGTTAAAACTTGTTTGAGGCTTAAAAATCCTTCATCTCTGTGCCAAGTTCAGCGAGCAGAAATAAGATGCTTTTCCTACAGAGAATCTGGATCCAATCTCAGGGCTCCCTAATGGGTCGGGAATTTTTCATGCTAGAACACATTAGCGACACTAACACGAACCATGAGCGCTGCATCACTAACGCTCCAGCAACGCTGCCCAACTCTTCCCTACATCACAACCAAAAAAGGGCTGTGGAACCACAACTGGAGCTCCAGAGAACCCCAGGGGACAGAAAGTCAAACCTTTAACTAGTTCTGTGCTTCACAGGTGGAACATGGAACTGAGACCAGGGAGGGCCCTGGAAGTCGAGGTAACAACCTTCCAGTTCAACCAGCTGCTCCCTAGTCTGGTTTCCCGGGTCGGGGTTCTTTGGTGCTGTAAGGAGCTGTGCAAGATGCAAAACCAGAGCTGACAGAATCCTTCAATTTCAGTAAAATCTTCTAAAACACCCAGCAAATGAGTTCATCTCTGTCAACCTCAACACTGGGACAAGACAACTTTAAACATTTGCTCTTAAGCTACTGAGGTGATAAATACTGACTGGCTGTAAACATCTGCGTAACCTTCCATTTTAAATCAATCTCAAGTTAAATACTTTTTAACGTTAATTAATGTTAATTTCACTTTTCTGTTCTCATCTGCCTGTTCTTCAAAGAGAAAAATAACCCTAAACCACAAGCTATGTATATTAATTAGCAATAAAAGCTCAAATAAACTGCAAATCCCTTGATTTCTCTTCACAAAGCTGATGACATTTAATCCCACCACAACTTAAATAAACCACCAGTGACAACTTCCAAACAAGATGACGTTTAATGAGACCTCCTCAGCCCAGGTCATTAATTAAGAGCTTTCGGCACCCCGCAGCCTCACGCCTTGATGGCGTATTTCCGGACCGGGTACAGACGTTCCTTTCGCTGCTGTTTCTTGGTCTTCAGGTTTTCCTCGTGTTTGTTTAGCCTGCGGCGCATGGCACGAGTCTTCTTGGGCCGCAGATCGAGGGGTTTGTATTTTTTGCCCTATTTTAAAAAAAATACAAAACGAGTTTGAGTTGGAGAGGCTGCAAAGGAGAACTCAGGAGCATGAGCTCACCGAGAGCTCAGGAGCTGGAAGAGCAGCAGCGGCGGCGCTTTAAGCTTCTTTTTATTGGGATTATAATTACAACCTAAAAGTTTACGAGACCTTTTCTCCACTGAGAAACACGAGTTGATTCCAACTTTTGTACCAGTTTTACTAGTTTTGACTTTGGTTTAATTAATGGTTAATCTTACAAGGCCCAGTTACCCAACACCTATCAAAAAGTTGTTGTTTTTTTTTCCTATTCTACATAATTCAAACCCCAAGAAGTAATATTCCAGAAATTACACTTATTGACATCAAAAATTCCTTGGTCACCTGCAACATGACTAAAATTTAGGCAAGATAGTATCTGAATTTCTGGAAAGTCCATCTTCTAGAAAGTACACTGCGCCCCAGAGAAGTGATGCTGCCCAGAAGACTCTCCTGGCAAAAGCAGGTTATAGAATTGAGGCTAGACTGGCAATAATAATTAAATAATATATTAATAATAATTAAAAAGGAACCATGACAAGGGAATTTCAAAACTGAACATAAATGAGGACCTTTTTCTGGAGTTTTAAGCTTTTAAGTAACAACTTACAAAATTAGTTCCTTGAAAAGAGTAAGAGAAGCAAGACCAGCACGTGAGATGTTGGGACTTACTTTGTAAAACTTCCTCAAGTTCTCCTTCTGGGTCTGGTTGATCACGGTGAGGACTCTGGCAATGGATTTCCGCACCACACGTCTGCAGGCGGGAAATAAAGAAGTATGTGTGAGAACATATGGAAAGAAAAGTACCAGGGGTTTAAAACCCAGCACACAGAAAAGGTGTGCGTGCTACAAACAAGTAACTTCCAGTGCACCACGTCGTAGCAAAACACTAACAACTTGGGGCACAGCTCAGGGTAACATCTCTGGGCAGAGAGACGCACAAACCGACGTTCAACCGGCCGTTCCTCTTCCACACCGTGTTCTTCTCCGTTGTACAGCACAAGGGAACCCCACAGGCTGTGACAGCCGCCCCCAAACCCAGCACCGCGGCCCCCGCAGCCCAGGGCCCAGCGCTGTCACA